AACACCACCCAAAGATCAGCTTTGGACTACAAACTGCTCAGGACAATCTCGAGGTGTCTATCTGAGATGATCTACTCTCTCAGACTACTCTAACCAGTACTTGAGACAAGCCCTGCACTTTCTCATTATGCAGAGACTGGACAACAAATGATACAGCTACCTTTCCCTTGACAATTAACCCACATTTTTCTTTTTGGGATCCCCTAAAGATGCCATCACCCCCAGACAGCAGGAAGTAAATTTAAGAACATGATGACCATACTCTCAAGAGGTGGGCTGGGTAGTTTTTGGTCTTTCAATGGGTTATGGATATTTGTCACCATTTAGGGTGATTGGTTACAAGTTGCTGTTGGTATTGGTCAGGAAAAAAGCTAAGTTTAGATTCAGGGTTCTTATTTTGAAAAGAGAAAAGGGGGATATAGATAGGATAGGATAAAAGGGTGGATTATGGAATCTATTTTAAATAGCAACTACTTGTTTAAAATATTTACATTGATATGGATCTTTGTATATTGATGCAAAGTTAAGATTATTTTTTTAGAACATACTATACAGCATTTATAATCTTGTTCAAGGTATTGTACCTATGCAACTCATTTAACAATGTAATGCAAAGTTCTAGTCTTTGAAAGTTATTATTACAAACTAATTAGAATATAAAAATGCAGGTTAGTAGTTAGTCACCTATTACAATCGAACTTGAAGTCATATTAGGTATGTTTTCAAGGTCAAACAGAGATATATTTTAGATAGACAGGTCATTCTCAAACGCTTCTGAGGTCTACAGAATATGTCATTTAAGATGTTTTAATAAGCCGGGCGGTGGTGGCTCATGCCTTTAATCCCAGCACTCGGGAGGCAGAGGCAGGTGGATCTCTGTGAGTTCGAGGCCAGCCTGGACTGCCAAGTGAGTTCCAGGAAAGGCGCAAAGCTACACAGAGAAACCCTGTCTTGAAAAAACCAAAAAAAAAAAAAAAAGATGTTTTAATAACATAAGTTTTTTTATGACAATGAGACATGTCTGCTCCTGGCAGCACCAATCTACTTCAGCGATGATGGGCATCAAAGAAATTCCATATGGAGTTTACTTTCCTTGTGGCAAAAGTTAGCCACTGGGCAAGAAAATGCCCTTACTTCAACTGCTGACAGTGTGATTTCCAAATGGGACACAAAAGAAAGAACTGACAACTTTTCCAAGACAAGTTAAAATAGCCCTTCAGAATATCCTGCTTCACAGAAAGTCTATCAGATATTCTAGGCCTGTAGGCCAAAGCTGGGTGCCCCAATGTTACTGAAGAACCTTGGGTGACTGTCTGGGCAGCCAGCTGTTTCTGTCACTTTTCACATTTTTTGGAAGTTGCTTGCTTGCACATCTTGTTTACTCAGGTAATATTTCCTTCTTGGGTCTCTGAGGGAGTTGAAGACTTTATAGTTATAGTTTCCCTTGTTACCAGAAATTTACTAAAGAGGAAAAAAGTGTATAAGGTTGAGAGACATTAAAAGATAATTGTGGTAATGCAAGTTAGAACAGAATGTGAATTAGGTACAACCTTTTGGATTCACCAAAATAGGATAGAAAATAGAGTATTTTCTCTGAATTTGTTAATTGTTAATGGACTAGACATTGTTGATGTACTTATTGGCTTTATATATTGTATATAGTTATTGTACTTATTGTATATTGTTTTTCTTAAAGTAGTTATAAACTTCTTATTTTAGACCAAAAAAGGGGAAATGTGGTGATATTTTGTTTGTAATCTAACAAACTTTTCTTAAAGATCAGAGTTCAGAGATAAACCACTGGTTAGCTATAGAGGCCAGGTACTTGGAAGACAGAGGCAGACACATCTCTGTGAGTTCAAGGCCACCCTGGGCTATACAAGATTGATCCAGTCTAAAAGAGAAACAGAGCCAGGGAGTGGTGGCACACACCTTTGATCCCAGCACTTGGGATTTCACGCCTTTAATCCCAGCACTAGGGAGATGGAGACAGGAAGTGATATGGCTGGGCAAAGAGAGGAATATAAGGCGGGAGGGGATAGGAGCTCAGGCCCTTTCAGGCAGAGGATTAGGTAGAGGTAAGAAGTGGTTGTGATTTGCTCCTTTGTCTCTCTGATCGTTCAGCATTTTCCCCTAGATCTGACTCCAGATTTTTATTATTAAGACCAATTATGATTCGTGCTACACATTGTGATGCTTCGTTGAGAATGTATACAAAGTAATTAAGAAAGTTTTACTTATAACATGCTAGATATCATATTACTCCAACTTAACATACATAGTATTTCAGGTGGGTGTGGCCACCTTAAGATGATGAAGCTGGAATGCCCTTCTCCTGTTTTACAATTGGTAGTAATGGTTAGATTTATTAGTACTCAAAATTCTGAGTCAGAGCACAATCCTACACACAATGGGTCCACTGTAATCTAGTCTTGCCATTTGCATTTAATAAATTTCACTTCTTACAAATACAATAAGAACAGCAATAACAGTAGCAAGAGCTAAGCACATACTAATCAGGGCTTTGGTTTTCAAGAAACTTTTAAGCTAAAGAAAGGAATTGCAGGAGTTAAATGAAGTATGCTTTATTTTAGTCAATATTGCTAGTCTGGGCAAAGAAACACGAAGTTTTCAAGGAGAGATGGATACTGAAAGATAGTAGTATGTACATCAGAGATAGTCAGGTTAAGTCTGGAGACTAAATTGGATTGAGAGAATGGGGAAATAAAGTTAATTTTCTATAAAGGAACTTCTATAAAATAAGAAAATACCTTTGCAATATTAATAGCCATTATATTTGCTATCTTTTATTTTCATACTTATGATCAGTGTCTAGTTTGGATTTCTATTGCTGTGACAAAACACCATGACCAAAGCAACTTGAGGGGTATGGTGGTTTGAAAAAATATGACCTCCAAAGAGAGTGGCACTATTAGGAAGCATGGCCTTGTTGGAGTAGGTATGGTCTTGTTGGAGGAAGTGTGTCACTGTGGAGGCAGACTTTGAGGTCTCATATATGCTCAAGCCATGCCCAGTGAGACAGACCATTTCCTGTTGCCTGTGAGTCAAGATGTAAAAACTCTCAGCTCCTTCTCTAGCACCATGTCTGCCTGCATGCTGCCTTACTTCCCACCATGATGATAATGGACTAAACCTCTGAACTGTAAGCGAGCCACCCCAATTAAATATTTTCATTTATAAAAGTTATCATGGTCATGGTGTCTCTTCACAGCAATAGAAACCCTGACTATGACAGGGAGGAAGTTTATTTAGCTTACACTTCCACAGCACTATTCATCAGTGAAGGAAGTCAGGACATGATCTCAAGCAGCGCAGGAACCTGGAGGCAGGAGTTGATGCAGAGACCATTGAGGTGTGTTCCTTACTGGCTTGCTAAGCCTTCTTTCTTATAGAATGACTTGTTCAGCCTTCTTTCTTATAGAATGCAGGACCAATAGTCCAGGAATGTCATTACCCACAATGGGCTGGGTCCTTTCCCATCAATCACAAATTAAGAAAACTCCCTACATCCTGATCTTAGGGAAGCATTTTCTTAATTGAGGTTCCTCCTCTCAGATGACTTTAGTTTGTGTCAAGTTGACACAAAACTATCCAGCACTATCAGTCTACAATTATTTGTATGTATAAATCTATATAGAATAAAACATACTCAATAATATTTACACTATATAAAAATCTATAAGCACAGATAAAAAGATTCTCTTCAGAAGAGACTAAGTATTGACCGAGAATATCAATACATATATACACACAAAGTTAAGAGAAAATGTGAAATTTTCATCTGTACATGAACAGTCCTACTCTTCAAAGGATTATTTGAAGGAATAACAGAAGTACATGCAGCACCATTATCAACCAACCACACAGGATTCAAAAAGTTAAGACTCAATGCCAACATTAATGTAGATTATATTCTGTATCACTGCAAATAAGCTGGAAAGAAATAAAAGATGGTCAGATACCCTCAGTGTTCAAATTAAATATTTAAGTAATAAAAATGGAAGAAATTCATTTGTAATTCAAATGCTTGAAAATAATACATTAGATTTTTACATATAGTTTGCTAATAAAAATCCATAATCAATGTTTTTGTGGATGTAACCAAACTGAGTTGTCACTTAGCACAACAAGCTATATCTGACTATGCTAACATTCCTCTTTGTCTCTCTATGCTTCTTTCAAAGGTGAAATATTCCTTCCAATGGATGCACTGTTATTTAAGTAACTCTGTGTTCTTTTAATGGTTTGATATTTTAAGGCAGGTTGATAAAAACAAAGTGCTGTTTTTGTTTTTTCTACTGGAACCAAGAGGTAGAGATGCGTACAACTTTTAAATGCAGCAGGAAGAACAGGTACACTCAGCCACCTTCCCAGTTCAAGTCCTTACAACACACAGCAGTTAAATATGTGTGTGTACATATATATGTATATATATGGTTATTGGATTTTATTTGAAGAATTTTTAGCTTTGAAAGCAATACATTATGAAGAATATTCCCTTTGTCTTTCACTTTTCTCCATGTATTTAACATTGTATTCTTTTTTTTTTTTTTTTTTTGGTTTTTCGAGACAGGGTTTCTCTGTGTAGCTTTGCGCCTTTCCTGGAACTCGCTTTGGAGACCAGGCTGGCCTCGAACTCACAGAGATCCGCCTGGCTCTGCCTCCCGAGTGGTGGGATTAAAGGCGTGCACCACCACCGCCCGGCAACATTGTATTCTTAATGTGTACACTTAGATAAAATGATGTGATTTAATTTTGTTAGTTAACACTTTTAAATAGTCTGTTGACTCTCTAAGGGGGTCCCAGGGGAAGGGAAAGCAATTTTTCCCTTGTGCTGACTGGGTCATGGGTCCCCTCCCAGGTGCGCCTGCGATGCCAGGGAGCAGAGTTGGGTTCTCACGCCCTTGTTCTTGTCTTGGGAGCCAGTAATGGTGTCTTCTCCCACGCCAGCCCTTGCCCAGGTCTAAAGGCCCTCTTACCTATTCTCCTTGTCTCTGTGATTGACTTCGTATTTCCCCAGACTTAAGTACAGCCGCACAAAAGGTAAATCTCCCGCACAGGCTGCCATGTGCAGATCGTTGTCAGGAAAGTATGCCATGTCTAAATACGCAGGATCCTGAGTCCCAAAGCACGGGGTGTTTCTCGGTGCCTTGATGTCGCAGAAACCCAAGGGCGTCTCTTCAAGATACTTTTTCTGACATTTACAGAGCCCAGAGAAGCCTTGGGAACCCTGAGGCATCCTCCCTCCCATATCAGGCACGGTTTATAGCAAGCCAACCGTTACCCGACCTGGTATCAACCAACGTTATTATAACAAGCCAACCCTCTCCATCTCATATCAAATTATAAGCCCACCCTCCTGTTTTTAATATTTTGCATATTATAATTAGTCTACCCCTCCTTATCGCGATATCAATGATATAATAAGTCCACCCCTCCTGATCCAAATATTATTGTTTGTTATAGACTAGCCAAGTCTCCTCAACATCCTCTCAAGTCAGTTCCTGGTTTAGTGTTTCAGTTGATAGCAACTGAAGAGACAGTTGACAGAACGGCTGTTGTCAAGCCATGCTAGTGGACACAAGTATGCAAGGGTGTGCAGAACACGAGCTATAGATATGCCCTTGTGCATGAACATGTGCTTGCGTCTAAAGCCAGTAAAGGTCAGTGCGCATGCGCATAGTACAGCCTGTCAAATCTCGGCAGAGCAGACCGGCATTGCTTCAAACATCAGAAGACAAAGCTGGAGGGATGGCTCAGTTTCAGGAGCACGCACTGTTCTTCCAGATGGACCTAGCTTGGTTTCCAGCGCCCACCACAGGTGACTCACAAACCTGTAGCGCCAGACGAGCCGTTGCTTTCTGAAATGTAGGCCCATTCCTTCACATACACAATTAAAAATAACAAATATTTTAAAATTTCATTATCAGAAAGCTGGATGACTGTTGGTCATTTGCTCAAGGCCAACTTGCTGCTGTGGGAAAGCAGTCCTTGAAAAGCTGGAGAAAGGGGGACTAAGAATGCCAAGGGCTTACTCTACAAGAAAATCTCTCCGAACACAACAGCCTCATTTCTATTCTTCTCCACATCTCGTAGAGTCCTGCGGGTCTGTGTGAGAATTCAACAGTAGAACTAACAGTCTGTTCTCATGGTTTCAGAGGTGAGTACAAACTTTGAAGAAAAACCCATGTACATTCTATGCAAACTGAATACCTCCTTGTCCTCCTCTTCCTTTCCTCCCTCCCAAGACAGCTAATCTCCTGCTCCTTCTCTTCCTCTTCTTCCTCCCCCAACTTCCTGTCCAACCTGAAAAACACCTCCTCCAGCAGCTCTATCAGCTTCTCAATCAACGAACAAAATGAGTCCTTCTACAAAGCACATGGCTAAGGAATTTGCAGGATGTCAGTTCCCACAGTAGCTGTCTTTTGCCATGATGCAAAGAATGCATCCATACCCTCATTTTCAAATTCTGCAAACATGCCGTCCAAGAAGTAGAACTTCCACATCCCAGGTCTCTTCTGTCCAACACTACCTCAGTTCATTCTGGAGAGCCCCATGAGTTCACAGCTCCTGCACTTTACCTCACCTTACCGGCACAGTGCTGCAGGTATCCAATTAACTCGTGCTCTGGTTCTGCTTTCAGCTCAGAGCAATGGTACCTTTCCTCCAGGCTACTGCTGATGCCAGGAATTCCCCCTAGTTATGTGCAATGCTCCGATCCATGTGTGTGAGGGTTGCTGGACATTGTCTTATGGGTGTCAGTGTGAGCCTTGCTATTGGTTCACATGCTCTGAAAAAACTGAATTGTATTGTCTTTAAAAGTTTTGTTCATTTTGATCTCTTAAGCCCTCTATCACATACTGATTTTCTCCAAGAAACAATACAAAGAAAATATGTTAGCATTTTTACACTGTATAATTATAAAATCAAATGTGTAATTTGGGAACACATGATCTGACATACATTCCTGGAGAGTTTGAAGGTATTTTCTAATGAAATAAAACTCAAAAATAAAACCAATAAAATGAGAATTTTACAACAAATGTTTAAAATATGGCAGTGGGTGTTAATTATTATTATTATTTTTTTTTTTTTTTTTTTTTTTTGGTTTTCCGAGACAGGGTTTCTCTGTGTAGCTTTGCGTCTTTTCCTGGAACTCACTTGGTAGCCCAGGCTGGCCTTGAACTCACAGAGATCCGCCTGGCTCTGCCTCCCGAGTGCTGGGATTAAAGGCGTGCGCCACCACCGCCCGGCCGGGTGTTAATTATTTTAAAACATCAATGCTCACTTTTACTTGCCATTTAGTATGCTAAGCAGTGTATATATACTTTATATAAATAACAAAATAGTATTCCTGATACTTCCCTTAGCATAAAAACCTAATGCTCAGAAAACTTCCTTCTGAAAACAGATATATCCAATGCTTAGAATTCTACCCTCTTAATAGCACATTACTCTTATAAAATGGATTTCATTGTAATATTTTTGCATGCATATAATGCATTTGATCATATTCCTCCCCATTACCATCTCATATGCCCTTCTTCCCACCCCATCTCATTCTTCTTTCCCAATTCTCCACCTTTAGTATGCATTGCATTTCTTCACTTCTGGACTCCACCTGTAAACAAAATGTGTTTTTCTGAGCCTGGTCTAATGAGGACATACTGCTCCATCCATTTTCCTAAAAGTTGCACATGCACAGAAAATCCAAATTCTTTCAAATTAATGAAAACTCACACCTTTGCACACTGACATAACTTTAAATCAGTTACACAAAAATCACATTCTCACTCACAATTGCTCATGCACACATCTGTACCCTCAAACATGTTCACATTGACAACACATTCTCACTTTGCATATCACAATTCTACTCTTGCACTTATCAACCCAACTCATACTTACACACTCTCACATGTTACATATTATTGAACTCTTGTGCACAACCAACATGCACACATTTGCACTCAAATCACTCATTTCACAACCACAGCTTTACAAATACATACAATACACTATGTACTCTTAATATACGCCTGCACTCACAGAAATACACATACTCAAATGGATACACATGCTTACATATTATTTCAAACTCATACACAAAAACTACACATAGTAACTCAAACACACATGCTCACATGAAAATCACACACTAGGATACATGCATAAATACACTTGCAGAGTTACATACTAACACTTCACACCATTCTGCCTTCTCCCAGCTACTACCACAACAGGTAAGAAGCAGTCCTCAGACCCTATGTTCTTAATCTCTGCCTTGCTCTTAGCTCCTAGCCCTGACAGGTAAGGGATCCTAGACACTAAGCAGTCAGCCCAAACTTGTACCTTCCTCTCAGCTCCTGCAGCCTACAGGTAAATCGGTCTCCAGACACAACACTTGATCCAAAAATCTGCCTTCCCTCAGTTCTTTGGGGCCAACAGGTAAGGAGTTCCAAAACTTGACAAGAACATCACCAGGCCATTGTGGGAGGGAAAGTTTTCACAGGGCCCTACCCTGAGACAAAGAACTACAGGGAACAAAGGGCTGTTGACAACCAGAGTAGTCTGCTCCAAGGGAGGAGCCCTCTAATTGGTTATCCAATACCGGGTGGTCAGCCCTGAAATGGCGTCCATACAAGCAACACTGAGGAGTCTAGCAAGATTGTGTGTGTGTGTGTGTGTGTGTGTGTGTGTGTGTGTGTGTGTGTGTGTGTGTGACAACAAAGGAAATGGAGGCCAGAGATTTGAGAGGGAGCAAGGGACAGTGGAGCACGGGAGAAGTTGGAGAAGAAAATGGAATAGGGGAAGATGATGTAATTATATTTTAATAAAATAAAACCTACCTCCTTAAATAGCTAATCAGGTGTTTCCTTAAGAATTCATCAGATTGTCCTGAAGCATCATATGTTACCCTGTTCTTCATGCTTTTTGTCTTTGGTTCTTGTTCATTTATGATTGGCACCTTCCAAATTCCAGTTCCTAAAACTTCAAAAAATGCTGGCAAAGGGATGTCAGCCACAACCATCTCCATCTACCGAGGGCTGCTAGATCACCCAATGCCATGCATTTCACCTACTCTTAGTATGAACCCCAGAGGGACACACCCAGCTCATTCATTATTCCTATTCAGCTCCCAAGCAGCCAAGACTGATCATCACCCCATGTTCTAAACACCTGGGTCCCAAATCCTTGAAGGGGAAATGTTACGATAAAATAAATACGTACATTACATATGCTAAAATGTTAAGAGTTAAAGGTACATAGATGGTCTTACAACTGGCTGTGTGACAGCCAAATTAACTAAAAGACAGGGCTCTAATTAAATTAGTTTTTACATGTTAATATTCCATTACATTTGGCTTGAAATACATAAAGTCAATATCCTACCTGCTACAAACTAACTTGAGGGAGAAATATCCTATACCAATATACCAACATATAAGCAATTGGAGAGCAAAATGTAATGCATACTATGACTATGGTAAATTGTTATGTGTTGTGAGAGCTCAGTGAGCAGACTCTAGAAGTGAGGCAGCCTCCCACTGCTCCCATTTCAGACTCAAATATGTTTGTCTCATAGTGTCCTCCAAGGCCCCTTGTTCAGATTGGGGGTAGTTTCCCACCACTGTTGGGGGTGGGAGGTGAACCAGCCCAGAAGTAAAAACAGTGTCCTTGAAATCAGCTTGAAGATTCCCAACTGTCATTACTATTGTTTATTCCATAATATTGAAGTGCCTACAGAGAGGAAGAAAATTCAGAAATTTAGTCACAAGAATTTGATCCACAAGTTAACACAGCAGAGAGGACAGTCTCAACTGGAAACTCCAGCAACTGGCCCATCTTTCCCAGTCCACTTCTGCAGGATATTCTCGCACCTGATTTGGTATGTCTCTATTTGTTTTTACTTGGAAAGCTCACCTGAGGGACCATTCTGTTCTGCCCAGACTCCATGGGGAACTCCACTTTGCTGCCTTAAAGCACCTCCCAGTCAGCTTCTGTTGGATGTTTTGCTTTCTATCATCTGCCATTGCTATTTTACCTTTTCATTTGGTTTGCTTTCTACTGCTGTGATAAAGACCATGAACAGCCACTTGGCGAGGAAAGCTTCTTTAGCTTACAAGTCCCAATCACAATCCCTCAGTAAGGGAAGCCAAGACAGGAACTAAGATGACAACTTCAATAGGAAAAAATAATCCTCTACCCTTTACATCCCATCTGTAGTCTGTTGTCACAAACTCTTGAAAATGATTGTAGATATTTTCCTACTAACATCTATACTAAAAGTAGTGATTTAAATACAATCACCAGGGTGCTCTAAATTTAAGTGTTTACTTTTATCAGACTTTCATATTTTCAGGTATACTGTACTAGCAAGTTTCTTTCCATTTGAATAACTCCCTTTTGCAGTTCTTCAACAAATCAGGAGGTGATGTCTTCTCACAGCTTTTGTCTCTGAGACTGCTTTACTTCTGAAGGTCAGTTTTGTGGAGTACAAAGTTCGTGGCAGGCAGGGCTTTCCTTAGCACTCTGAACACAGGTTATTCTGAGCCAACGGCCATTACAGTCGGTCCCCATCTCACTGTCACCAGAGAAGAGTAGACGTAGGGTCTGTCCATTACTGCATTTTATGGTGGTATGCAAGCCCAATACTGAGTTCTAGACCATGTTCTCTGCTTGCTCCCCTCTTCCCGCGGGGAGACTGTGTCTTCATGCTCTGCTGGCTGGATGTGGGCAAGTGTAACTTAAGGAATGTACAAACTGTCTTTTCTATCCTACTCAATGCATGTTTTCTTACTACTATCCTACAACCAGGTTCTTTATTCTTATTTGGCTTGCTTAATCCAAATGAAGGTATTTTCACATATAATGAATTATTTAAGTGGGTGTTCATGCTGGGGATGGATGATGGAGAGTCCAATTCCCATAATTCAATTCAGGCATTTGGATGGCTTTGAATGTGAGTTCATAAAAGCTTAAAACTGTTTTCTAAATTCACTCACTTTAAAATGCTTCAGTTGGAATGTGCTTTCAAAGTAAGTAGTATATCAGGAGAAACTCATTTCCAGTTGAAAAAAGTCAACTACAAAGCTCAGGCAAACCATCACAAACAACCACTTCATGACTCTTGGAATTAACAGAAGACCTACAACAAAGTATGACTTGTTCCTTCATGAAAACCAGAGTTCAACCAAGAACACGATTCTCTGGTTGTCCTGCCTACTCAGGACAGTTCCCAGCCCACAGGTTCAATGGTTAAACCAGAGTGAAGGAAGATGTGTAAAATAAGACTTGTGTGCCAGGAATGGTGAAGCATTCCTATAACCACCCAGAAGGCTCAGGCAGGATGGTCAATTGGAGGTTAGCCTACACTACGTACAGAGAACTTTCTGGAAAAGACCCAAAACAAACAAACAAGCAAAAAACACCCCAAGAAAAATAAAAATAAAAGCCTTATTCTCATTTTCACAAGAGAATTCAGTTGATCTGATGTAAATCTAGGATCGCAATGATAAGCAGCTTACTAGCCTTAAGTGGTTGGTTGCTCTGCAACATGCAAACAAGATGAGAGTAGATAGTCATGAGATTTCTGTGACGTGAGATGCGCACAGGAAGTTGATAATCACTTCACAAAATATTCTAAGTTTACCAGACATGCAGAGCAGAAAATTCTCCAGCTATCTATATCCACATTTGATTGTCAAAGTCTTTGCATACACATGAAGGAGAAGCAATAAAACCAACTAAAACTCAAAAGTCACAGTAAACTTGCGATATAATTTACCAAGACTAGAATTGTGAGGTATTCGATTTGAATGACATTGATGAGATACCACGTTATAGTGATTGGTGATGAAATTGTAAACCTCACATAATACAAGCTACAAAGGAAATTTGTATAGTTACTTTGAATTTTGAAGGCTTGAAAAAAATATCCTAAAACCTAATAGAAGGGACGATTATACAGAAAAAAAGTCTTTGGTCTATATATTTACAATGAACAAGTTTTATAACATGAAAATTACAACTCAATGTGACTGTAAAACTGTTTTAAGTTAGGTT